CCCTCCCAAAAAAAAAAAAAAAAAAAGTGAGATGTAACATTTTCAAATGTTTATTTTCAAATGTTTCAAGAAACTGGGCAGGTAACCACAAAGTTTATTCCAAGAGTCAAATAATCACCTTCTCTTTGCTCAGGAACTATCTGCTTTCGTCTTCAGAGGATGGAACTGTGAGACTATGGAGCCTTCAAACGTTTACTTGCTTGGTGGGATATAAAGGCCACAACTACCCAGTATGGGATACGCAGTTTTCTCCATATGGTTATTATTTTGTGTCAGGGGGCCATGATCGAGTAGCTCGGTAAGCACTGTGCTCTTACAACTCGGTTTACTCAGTAACAGAATGCTTTTTTGTTGTTGGAATTGCAGATTCCACCCAACCTCATTTTCAGGATCAACTTTTTGAGCACATCAGCATTTATGGCTCGACTTGAAAATGAATTTAGGACAGGCATATTACTGTATCTGCAATTGTCTAGAGAGTCCTTTTCTTCAAATTAGCTTATTAACACACCTCCCTCAACCCCCCTCCCCATCATATTTTAAGCCTTGTTTTCCACTTCCATTCTGAGTACCTTTATGTTTCCCTTAAAAGTGCCCCATGAGATAGTTCAAGTTGGAAACTATGTGGTGGTCAAAACTAGGGAAAAATACTTTTCTGTGAGTCAGACTAAAAGTGGGAGAGGATGCAAAGATAGATTTAGAGAACTATAGAATTAGTTTTGTACTGGATCAATTCTTTTTAAAGGATTCCCAGTGGTCATGTATGCTCATAGGGTGGGGAGGAGGGGGAAGAGAACACACCCCACTGGGCCATAGTCATGCTGCAACCCATTTCCCTCCATTTCTATGTCTCTTTAGGATTTGGGCACCCCTGCACATATGTCCAGTGTTTTCAAGCCTTTGGGCTGGGATTCAAACTGTAGACAGTTATGGGGATCCAACTCCCCTGCCCACATACATACAGTGCTTGACTGCTGCACTAAGAGATGGCCACCAACTTAAGAATGTTGTCTCAGGCTAGCAGGTGATATGGAGGATAAAGTGTGGGATCTCACATGGCTGACTACCTGGTTTGAGTCCTGACTTGGTGGCTTGAAAATTATACCAGGCACGTGTGCATGCATGCCCCAAATCCACAGTGTAGACAGGAGAAAAGGGATTGTGGTGTGACCATCCCCCCAAGGGAGTGATTTCCAATTTTCCCTTTCTTTCCTGTCTCTGTTGCAAACGTATGTGCTCTACAGAACCTAAAAAAATAACATTTAGTCTCAATTATTCTTTTCCTATAGTTAACTCGTGAGGGGGACCTATTTGAAATTATCTCACATTGGATGTTTCTGTATTTAGCTTGGATAGAACTCGGCAGTTCATAGTTAAGTACTAACTATCATCTTTCACTTTCCATATCTTTGTAAAAAAGGCTCTGGGCTACAGACCACTATCAGCCTTTAAGGATATTTGCTGGCCATCTTGCTGATGTGAATTGTACTAGATTCCATCCAAATTCTAATTACGTTGCTACGGGCTCTGCAGACAGAACTGTGCGGCTCTGGGATGTCCTGAATGGTAATTGTGTAAGGATCTTCACTGGACACAAGGTATTTCACCTTCATCATTCCAGTACATAATTTGAAGATAAAAATATTTGTTAAATTACCAGTAACATTAAAAAAAAATCATTCATGCCACTAAACTTTAAAGTTCCATCTCATTTTCTAAGATATACTTAACCTTATTTTGATCCTTTTCATGGACTTATTTCCTAGGGACCAATTCATTCCTTGACATTTTCTCCCAATGGGAGATTCCTGGCTACAGGAGCAACAGATGGAAGAGTACTCCTTTGGGATATTGGACATGGTTTGATGGTTGGAGAATTAAAAGGCCATACTGATACAGTCTGTTCACTTAGATTTAGTAGAGATGGTGAAATTTTGGCATCAGGTAAATGACTATTAATGGCTTTCTAAATGGTATGTTAAAAAGAAACACTGAGTGTTGGCAATGGCAAAATTAAATCCTGTTGTTTTAGGTAGTTTCTGTTTAGTCATATGATTCCGGAGTGTCATCCTAAGTGTATACTCACTTCTCAAGTTGGAATGCTCCTTCAGAAGGAATAGAGTGGTTGATCAAGTTAGATTTTTTTTCATCACAAATACATAGCAAATACATAAAATATACGTTACAAAATGTCAGAATCTAAATGTGATAGATAAATTAATGGTTTCTTTTGACTTCTCCTTAGGTTCAATGGATAATACAGTCCGGTTATGGGACGCTATTAAAGCATTTGAAGATTTAGAGACTGATGACTTTACTACAGCCACTGGGCATATAAATTTACCTGAGAATTCACAAGAGTTATTGTTGGGAACATATATGACCAAATCAACACCAGTTGTACACCTCCATTTTACTCGAAGAAACCTGGTTCTAGCTGCAGGCGCTTACAGTCCGCAATAAACCATCGGTATTAAAGACTTTTAGAAACTACTGTTTGAAAAAAAAGGGAGACTAAGAGCAAATACCTCAGTGATTAATATTTAAGCTACAAAGAATGTTTTTATCTATATGGATCTGGAAGTATGCTGCTTGGAAAATCTAAACAGGACAGATTCACATTTCTATAGCAACCACATTTAACTAATTTCCGTTAGTTGAATAAGAGGTATTATGTTTGTGGAGAGGACATTTATGGTGCTTTGGATTGTGTGGAAACTATGCATTTTCTGTTCAAATGCTACTTTAATTTATTATGTTTAGAAAAACATCAATTTCAATAATTCATCCTCCTTCAAGATTCAAATTAAGAAATAATACCATCTTGAATTTTAGCTGAAGAATTCTATGAGCATGTATGCTTCCGCTGTAAAGAATGTAGTTGCTATATTGCACTCAATACCGTTAAATGATCCACTAACATTTTTTTCTTGGCCCATGATTAGTGGAATGTATGTAACTGAGTCATGCAAATTACAGTTCCTTTCTTAGGTCTAGATGAAGTACAGCCACCAACTGCTGACATCTGAATTCATACCTGTTGAGTTCCGAGTGCACACAATCTATAAACCAGATGAAGAAATTTAGCTTCCATGTTCTACTTCAGCTAAAACCGCTACATACAACCTAGTACACTTGAAGTTAGACATTTCAGTTGCTTACCTCCAGTACTGAGCCTTGCTTTGAGAACTAAAAGATTTAGACCAAGTCACTGCCAGTTTTTTGCCTTTGTTGCATTTTGTACAGTTTTTATATTTTTGATACCTTGTAAATAAAGACAACCAGCTTTTCCAGGTTCATAATTTATTGTACAAATTGAGTATCACATAATGAACTGACATTAGCTTCTCTAGGCACGGGAACTTAGATGAGGTTTGGATGTTTGACTCCTATAAACAAAGCAAAACAGTTTAGACACAATGTGTTCAACTCTACTTTTAACAAACTAAGTAAGTAATTGGGCAGGACTATTAAGGAACTACATGAAATTGAATGCAAATTCATCAGATTCCCATAAGAGTTATTAGTAACACCAGCATGATTTTAAAGCTGTGGCGTTCAGGATTCAAACCACAGAGACAGATGGTCACATGGGATCCAGCAGCTTTATCCACCATACTAGTGGCTGGCCCCATAATTAAACAAACAAAACATCAAATTAGCAAAAATCAGAAACCAATGCTTCACATTGGCTGGGGCAAAAAACACACCTTTAACAAAGCTGAGTGCCCCACAACCTTTAGGGAAAGCACTTTATTCTAAAAAAACAGTCACAGATAAAAACAATGCTTCATGCTCAAAAACACTGTCATTTTATATATATTCTGGGTTGGAATGTGCATTTTTGCACATAAAACCAGAAATATATGTCATGAGTTTTCCAAGAATACATTAAAAAGAAAAATTCTAATCATAGACATTTCCTTTGTGAAATAAATAAATCATATAGCCCATGAACACTTACATGTGCATTCAAATTATAAATGAAATATACCTTTTACATAATAAAGTTACAGACATGATGTTAGCCATGGAAAGTAAATAAAATACATTAAACAAAAAAATAGCTAAACCAAAATGTTACCAAATATTATCAAGGTAATGGAATATGGGCAATAATCTTTACTCCCTCCCCTCATATATGATAAATTTTCCAAAGTTTATTTTTATTGTGGGGGGAGGGAGATACTAATGTCAAAATTGGTTAAGTTATAAACTTCTAAGAGTCAACTTCTTACCATTTATGTTGCTTTCACAGCCGGAGTTTTCTTAGATCTTAACTTGAAGTATAAGATCGTCAAAACAATGCCTCCGTACGTGGCCAGTACACACTGAGATAGAAAGAAAAGTAAATAAGAGCTGCCACATCTATATTATTCTAAAACACTGATATAACTGCTTCAGAGTATTAATACTTACATTCATTCTACCTGTGAGAGTATAAGAGTTGAAGTACTTTTTAATACCAGTGAACTGAAACTGGGCATCAGCTTCTGGACCTGCCATGATTTCAGTCTTCTAAAGAAAAAAAAAAAAAGGAAAGAAATAAATGATAAATTAGTTTGGATGCAATAAAAAAAAAAAAAAAAAAAGACTTTTCTTTTAAATTTTGCTAGAGGGAGCCTGTGCCCACACCAGGGAGAGAGAGAGAATGAATGAGAATGAGATCCAGCTGCCTTAACCACCATATCACTGGCTAGCCCAAGTTTTTTCTTTCTAGTTTAAAAATCTGAAGTCATTACATATATTGTACCTTTTAATCTACAGCTCACTGAACACAGCAGTAGCAATGGTAGAAAAAGACCTCCTAGTAAGAGAAGCTTCTGGAAGTCGGATTTTGCCTTGATATTTCATGAACAGTCTAGAGTATGTCAATAACAGGAGAACACAGTATTTGCTAAGTCCATCCTGATTCAAATAGCTATTAATATTTTAATTCCTGAATCTATCCTCACTATGGTACATTGTACACTGAATTGATCAGTTTTACAGCTAGCTTAAAGTTAAAGCTTATGATAGTTTTCAAACTTTCAGAGGAGTAAACATCAATTAAACAGCTCAACTCACAAACCTCACTCAGCAATTTTCCTTTTAGGACCTTTATGGAGTGGAGGGAGAAAGGACTGTTTTCTAAATGGAGTTGATACTAGCCATTGGTGATGATGAAGAAACTGAAATCTTATTCCTCACACCAAAATAGATAAATGAAGTATTTAAAAGTAATGGTGAAACCAAAAAGTCCTGGGAGAAAACATGAACAAATGTTTTAATCATCTTAGAAAAGTGAAAAATTAAAGAATGATAAGAACGGGGGCCAGCTGGTGGTATGGTGGTTAATTAAGGTTTTTGGACCCCACATGGTTGCCTGCTTCAAGTCCTGGACCCAGCAGGTTGAAAAATACTCCAGGTGCATGCATACCCAAAATCCAGAGAGAAGAATGAAGGAGAAGGGGTTGCAGTGTGGCCACCCTCCCTAGAAGGTGATTTCTCTTTCTCCTTGTCTCCCTGCCTGCCCCAGCACATGAGCCCTTTAGCCTGCCATGATTTCAGTCTTCTAAAGAAAAAAAAAAAAAGGAAAGAAATCAATGATAAATTAGTTTGGATGCAATAAAAAAAAAAAAAAAGACTTTTCTTTTAAATTTTGCTAGAGGGAGCCTGTGCCCACACCAGGGAGAGAGAGAGAATGAATGAGAATGAGATCCAGCTGCCTTAACCACCATATCACTGGCTAGCCCAAGTTTTTTCTTTCTAGTTTAAAAATCTGAAGTCATTACATATATTGTACCTTTTAATCTACAGCTCACTGAACACAGCAGTAGCAATGGTAGAAAAAGACCTCCTAGTAAGAGAAGCTTCTGGAAGTCGGATTTTGCCTTGATATTTCATGAACAGTCTAGAGTATGTCAATAACAGGAGAACACAGTATTTGCTAAGTCCATCCTGATTCAAATAGCTATTAATATTTTAATTCCTGAATCTATCCTCACTATGGTACATTGTACACTGAATTGATCAGTTTTACAGCTAGCTTAAAGTTAAAGCTTATGATAGTTTTCAAACTTTCAGAGGAGTAAACATCAATTAAACAGCTCAACTCACAAACCTCACTCAGCAATTTTCCTTTTAGGACCTTTATGGAGTGGAGGGAGAAAGGACTGTTTTCTAAATGGAGTTGATACTAGCCATTGGTGATGATGAAGAAACTGAAATCTTATTCCTCACACCAAAATAGATAAATGAAGTATTTAAAAGTAATGGTGAAACCAAAAAGTCCTGGGAGAAAACATGAACAAATGTTTTAATCATCTTAGAAAAGTGAAAAATTAAAGAATGATAAGAACGGGGGCCAGCTGGTGGTATGGTGGTTAATTAAGGTTTTTGGACCCCACATGGTTGCCTGCTTCAAGTCCTGGACCCAGCAGGTTGAAAAATACTCCAGGTGCATGCATACCCAAAATCCAGAGAGAAGAATGAAGGAGAAGGGGTTGCAGTGTGGCCACCCTCCCTAGAAGGTGATTTCTCTTTCTCCTTGTCTCCCTGCCTGCCCCAGCACATGAGCCCTTTAGCCCACCCCCGCTAAAAAAAAGCCAAAAACATGAAAGAATAATCAGCTTCACAAAGAAATGTAAAACAAGACCAATATTTAACTAGCATGTTCACAAAAGATATAAAAGTTATGAGAAGTATTAGTAATAAAGTGGGAAAACAAGCATTCTCTCTGTGTTGCTTGGAGTATAGACAGGTACAACCTTCCTTAAGTGCAATTTGGCAGTATTAGTCAAGTTAGAAAATGAGAATGCCCTTTCACCTATCCAGTGTATTGTTTTCCCCCAGCACATGCCCTTAAAGTGATTCGAGAGTAGTCACTGAAATGTTCATGAAAATAAAAAGCTGGACATCCTTAAAACCCAGCAATTGGGCACTGGTAAGTGATGGCTTTCATTGGAGGAAATACAACATACACAAATCTTTGTGTACTGACATAGAAAGCCGGTCAGAGGTGATGTTAAATATTCAAAAATTCAAAACTAGCAGGGGGCGTGGTGGTTAAAGTGCTGGATTCCCACATGGCTGACCACAGTTTGGGTCCCAGGCCTGGTGGCTTGACAATCATGCCGGGCACACCCAGAATCCTGAGAGGAGAATGGAGAGGAAGAGAATGCAGTCTGCCCCCTGACCCCCTGCCTGAAAGGGGTGATTTTTCAATTTTCCTCTGTCTCTCAGGTGAGTGCACATGCCCTATGGCAAAAACCTAAAAATTTTTTTGAAAAAAAATCCTATTTCTGGTTATTATAAAGCACATCGTGGACGTTGTATTATAGAGCTGATTCTTAGGCCAGCTATATCAGCATCACTGGAAATTTGTAGAAATACAAATCTTCAGGACTTCCACAGACTTAGTGAATGAGAGACTCTGGGGCCCTCAAATTTTAATAAGGCCTATTACCTATAAAGTAACTCTTTGACGTGTGCTAGTTTGAAAACCAGAAATGGGAACGGAAAGTAATTAGAAACCCAGGAAGAACATGTAGCAAACTTCAATAAAAATTTTAAATTTAATTTTATTTAAATTTGACCAGAGAGGGAGACAGAGTGAGGGGAGAGAGAAAAAGAGGAAGAGAGGGAGGAGCGAGAGGAGAAAGAGAGAGACAGAAAGAAAGAAACCCCACCCCACCCCGGGGAGATGGCCACAAGGCAATCCTTTCTCCTCCATTCTTCTCTTGAGATTTGGGCCCTCGCTTGTGTGCGCAAGTGCCCTGTTTGAATTTCAAGCCTCTGGGTCTGGGACTCGAGCTGCAGTCAGCCCTTTGGGAGTCCAGCAATGTAATTATTATGCCATCTGCTGGTCCTGACTTTTCAGTCTGTTATATAGTGTGTGCATTAGACAGAGAGGGAGGGAAAGTGAGGAGGGGATTCTGGGTGTGTGTGTGCACACCCCCCCCCCCACACACACACCAGTGTCCCTGCCCAGTTACTCCTGGTCCAGGACTCAAACTGTGCAGTTGGCCATGTGGGGTCCAGCCACCTTAACCTCCACCCATCTGATGGCCCAAGGAGAAAGACTTCTGAAAGGCTGAGATAGAAGAATGCAGAGAGGAGGTTGCTGGTGAAACAACAATCAGAATAGGCTGGAAAATGTTTGGGTCTCCAACCTTCAACAAATTACAGGTTACTTTGGGGCAAATATCAGGAACCCTGTGTTAGAATGCCCTTTTTAGAATAACTGAACTGAAATTTGCTTTCTCTGAACCACATGTAATTTCAGAATCACACTAAGTTTAGAAAGTCCTGTAACAAATGAGAAAATTACCTAAGACTCACAATTGTGACTTAATGTTAAATGGTAACTTGTGGGGAAGTCTAAGTGGATAGAGCCCTCACTTTCACTTGTAATTAAAGAGGCTAACCCTATTAAATGTAACTAATCCCTCCATGCCTCTCTCCACCTCTGCAATGGGTATTTCAGTTAAGGCCCAAAGTGATTAGTAGTGATTAGTTGCTTCTGTGTTTTCTGTTCCTGGTTAGTACTATTTTCCTTTCTGACTGGACACCTATACGGCACGGTGAGATCACCTGGCAAAGGTGAATGACACCAGTAGGAGCTTCTTTTTTGGAGGAGTTTTTGCTATAGGGCGCCTGTGCGCGCCGGAAATAGAGACTTTAGAAAGCGAGAAATCACCCTGGCCACACCGCAATCCCTTCTCCTCTCGGGATCTTGAGCACGCACGCACATGCTCCCGGCGTGAGTTAAGCCACCGGGTCCGGGACTCGAACCGCGCGGTTCACTACATGGAAGCCCGGCGACATAGCCATTATGCTAACTGCTGGTCCAGTAGGAGCTTCTTGAGCTTCAAGTTTACAGCTCTCTGTTCTGGCTACCTCCCAGTAAAGCCTTCCCTCCGTGACTGTATACAGAATGAAATCTATCCCGCTTACCGCGGGCCTAGTGAACTGCAGGAGTTGGGTCCACTTACTGTCGCTTTGACAAAGAAAGCATGCAGCGAAAGACCTGGCTGGACGTTTTCCTACGCATAGCTCGGTGGAAACAAAAAGCTACGGGTATACAGAGACAAAGCGGATAATCTGGCCAGACTCAACTCCTCGTCCAATATTACGTCACTGAGTGACCTTGGGGGACTTTCTACGCGAGCCTCATTTTTACTCACTGGCAAATGCAATCTAAGGATCTTGGGTTCCGAACTGTGAGTTTTGGGACGTCTATCCGCTTCGTACCAAGGTTTGCCCATCCCCCCATGTCCGTTTTTTCTAGCTCATTTCCCACTCTCCACCGTTCTCGCCGCCCAAAACGAGGACCTCGCGGTGTTCCTCTACCAGAAACTATCAATTTTAGACTGGTCTCACAAAGCGAGGTCGGAATTCAGATTCATCCACACACCCACCTTGCAAAGTGACTAAATCCGCAGTCGGTGTCCTTCAACGCAGCCTCCTCTCGGCCCAGCCGGAAGAAGCAACCTCCCCCACCAGCGTTCAACGGAACCAAATAATTCACCCTTCTCCGTCGATTGGCTATCGCTCTAAATCCCGCCCTCCCGCTTCCTGTCCTCGGAGCACCGCCTTAGCCCTGTTGGATTGGACATAGCAACGGAAGTAGGTCATTGAGCCCGCCCCCGCTTCCGCAAGAACAGCGCGGGGCTGTGGGAAGTTTGGTCTCCGCGTGTGATTAGTGCTCCACGGGCTTCGAAGTGGCGAGAAGCTGGTGCCACGGGGTCTGGTGAGTGAGGGCGGAGGAGAGAAGGGAGGAAATCTCTTGGTTCTCAGCCTATTCCAGGGTCGGGTGCCCCGGTGCCTGCCAGATGTTTGCTGTGTGGTGTGTGGGTGTCTGCCATCCGATCCTGCTCCGAACCGGCTCTGCTTTAGCAGCCCCTGGAACCCCAGGCTGTGTCCGGAGAAGTAGCCTAAGTCCCTTCTTTGCCTCTGGAGCTTCAGTTTCCCTATTGTGTGAAATAAGATTAAAGGTCATATTCCCAACAAACTGTATATTTTGCCCTGTCCTGTATTTAGGAAGCACATCCCTTTTTGATTCCAAATCCTAGGCTCCCTTTTCCGTTGTCACCTCTCTCCTACTGTCTCGAACCCTTCTAGGTGCTTATTTCCATGCATCTCTCAGAAGATCTTCCATTCTCACTTAAACCTAGGTCTGATCTCATGTTTTTCTGCTGTATGCATTTGGGTCAGTAACCACCGATTTCTTTGTTTTCAGCCCTATGTTCCTGTCCAATCTGTAGTCTGCAGCATTTTTTTGTTTTTTAATGGAGAGGTTTTTGCTATAGAGCAAGATGGCTCGCCAGAGACAGAGAGACAGAAAGTGAGAAATCACTCCCTAGGGGGGGATGGCCACGCTGCCTTCCCTTCTTCATTCTCTTCTCCGGATCTTGGGCACACACACACACACACGCACACACACACGCCCAGTGTGAATTTAAGCCACCGGGTCCGGGACTCAAACCGTGGTCGACTACATGGGAGTTCAGCGACATAGCCATTATGCTAACTGCTGGTCCCAGCAGCATGTTTTACTTGATTACTTTCCTGTCACTTCCCACATTTTCAGCTCTTGACTTGATAAACTAATCATTTAATTCAAGATTTTTTGCGAAAAAAGCCCAACCCATCTCCTAAAATTTAACTGCAGTTGTTAAACTTTATTCTTCCACTGATCTAAATTTTCAAAGAAAGGCAAAGAAAGGCCTTGAGCAATTGCTTGATAGACAAATTGCTGACACTTACTGAAATAATAGGCTTTTCCTGTTGGTATGCTTGTCTCACGTTTTATTTCTACCTGTCAAACTGGTATTCTTTTAACATTCAACTCAAAGATATCGTTATAAAGTTTTGGCTCCTTTACTGAATCCCCATCACTTCCTACCTCTTTGCTGATAGTCTTTAATCTGATTTGTATTTTTTTTTTTTTTTTGTAAGCCAGAGTGCAGATGCACTCACCAGGACAGACAGAATGAGGGAGACAGAGAAAGCATCTCTGAGTGGGACATGGTCATGCTGCAATCTGTTCTTCATTTCTCCATCCTGTTGGGATTTGGGACACGCAGGCATACGTACCTGGCATGTATCTTCAGCTGCCCCGGCTGGGATTTGAACTGTGCAGTCAGCCATGTCGAATCTGGTTCCTTTGACCACTAGAGCATGGAACTGGTTCCTATTTGTGTTTTAAATTACTCACATAACTATTTCATATTCTAAAAAGTATGCAAGTTTTTTGAAGGTAGGGAGTCCTATGTTGTGTATTTCTAAACTTTTTTTCTTGGAGAAAGGTATGTAGACTCCTGGTTTTGAAGTTGAGACCATTGGAAAGATGAAGTATGGATTAGCTGGGGCCTGGCATCTCAACCATCTGTGTTGTAGTCCTGAATATTATCTAGGACATTGCTGGAAGATTCTGTCTCTTGCTTTCTGATCACAGCGTTTATGAAAACTGCCACCAAGGCTCCATTTTACCATTACTCTTGGCATTTATTTCTAGGAGACCCAAACATGGCAACGTTAGAAGAAAGTTTCCCCCGTGGGGGTATGAGAAAGACCCACAAACCAGAGAAAGCTTTTCAGCAGTCAATTGAACAAGACAACTTATTTGACGTAAGTGGTGTGCTTGTTTGGCGAAACTCTCTGAAAACTTTCTCTCTAGGATTCTTGTGAAGAATGAGCCTTATTTAAGAATGTGTAGTTTTTCAGATTCGTTTCTTTTTGAAGTTCACTTCTGTAAATTGAACTTGTTAAGAAGGATCAGACCACCACAAGGCCATGTCTTTAGAAACATCACATTTAGTGCTTGAGTTTAAATTGCTGTTGTTCCTTGTGCATATGGACTGTGTGCTATCTAAGGATGAAGAGAAAGCAGTTTAATCATTGCATTTAAAAAAAATTTGTCAGAGGGCACATGTGCTTATCAGGGAGAGAGGGAGAGGGAAGGAAAAAGCATTCTTCAATGGTTATGCTGCAATCCTTTTTTCTCCATTTCTCTATCCTGCTGAGGTTTTGGGAATATGTGTGCATGTACCTGGTGTGTTTTTCATGCTGTGGGGCCAAGATTCAAGCCACATGGCTGGTCATGTGGGATCTGGCTTCCTTAACCACTAGGCCACAGGATGAGCCCAATCATTGCATTTTATTTTTCTTTTTTTGGAGAGGTTTTTGCTGTATGGCACGTGCGCTCGCAAGAAAGACAGAGACAGGGAGACAGAAAGTGAGAAATCACCTCCCAGGAGGATTGGCCACGCCTCAATCCCTTTCCTCCATTCTCCTCTCAGGATCTTGGACATGCACGCACACGTGCCTGGCGTGAGTTTAAGCCACTGGGTCTGGGACACAAACCGCGGTCGACTACGTGGGAGTCCAGCAACACAGCCATTACGCTAACTGCTGGTCCCGGTCATTGCATTTTTGAATGCGATCCTTACTACACATGATTCAGGATTTGCATTAGAATATGCGGTCTCACTTAGAGTAGACTTGCTCCAAATGCTAGAGGAAACACATTCGTGTGGACTTACATATGTATTATGTCATTTTCCGGTTACACTAGTCGAGATCACAATTCCGTGTTGCAGAACTGAGGACAAGGGGGATTTTAGAATTTAGCTGAAATCCCTTAGGTTACAATGGTGAAGTTGGGAGTTTAACTTTGGTCTCTGCCTCTGTTTTCCTGTACTGTTCACCTTGTTTCTCAAACTGGGGGACCCTAGTGTTCATCCTGTCATGGGAGGAAGGGCGCAGGAGATAAAAGATTTTGGGACACAGAGGGGACTGCTCAGACCTTGGGCAATAATGGGAGCATTGTTGGCCAAGTGGGAGAGTTATGTTTGAAGCAAGGATTAAAAGAGTAATTGCAGGTGAGGTTGAGTGGAATGGGGGACAGATGACTCAAGAGGGAGAGAAAGGCCAGATTTGCTTCTTCTCATTCTTTTGGACCTTACTGTTTTTTTTTTTTTTTTTCCACTGTAGATTTCTAATGAAGAGGAATCCACCAAACGGAAAAAGAGCCAGAAAGGGCCAGCCAAAACAAAAAAGTTGAAAATTGAAAAGAAAGAAAGCAGCAAGTCTCTAAGAGAAAAATTTGAAATACTTTCTGTTGAGGTTTGTTTAAGTTTAATTTTCATTTAAAGGAACTCCCTTGGTTATTTAAGTCTGTGTATATTCTTCTTTTCCATTTGCTTTCTTATCCCTGTTCCCTGTGTGTATTTGTGTGAGAGAGAGTGTGTGTGTATTTGGTGTACATGTCTACAGAGATTCTGGGAATTTATTGTGAGAAATAAGCATTATTTCTTTCAATTGCTAAGCAATGCCTAGGGACATGATTTTTTTTTTTTTTTAAGAATTATTTTATTTAACTTTATTTATTTTTTAGTTTGAACAGAAAGGGAGAGAGAGAAAGTCAAAAAGTAAGTCACCAGATCTGGGACTGGAACTGCGGTTGGCCATGTGGGAGTCCAACGCCCTTAACCACCATACCACCTGCTGGCCCTAGGTCACGATTTTTTTTTAAGGTGCTTGTGGGCTTGTTTGAGTCTTCATTAGACTTGTGTATCAGTAGATTTAGAAGTAAGAACTAACAACTTTAGCAGTTATTTTAATTTTACCACATTCATTTAATAAATGTGAAACTTTCTCAGAGAACTAAAATAGTTTTATTGTGTTTCATAAAATTTTAGACTGCAACTCTAATAGATGTTAGTTGTAAAAAAGAAAAAAAAAATTCTGTGATTCTGAAGGGAAAGATTCAGATTTAGCCCTCGGGAGTGTTTCATTTGTCCTACATGATACTGTTAAAAAAATTTACTTAGTGGCAACATTAGAAAACTACAATTTTCAGGGGCCCACAGAAAATTGTGGGCATGGTGCTTGGGGATGCTGGACTCCCACATGGCCAACCACGGTTCAAGTCCTGAACCTGATGGCTTGTTTTCTCACTTTCCTTCTACCTCTCTTTCTCTCACTCTGTCCCCCTCTGGTCAAATTAAAATAAATAAATCATAAAGTTAAATAAAATAATTATTTTTTCTAAAAAAAGAAAACTACAATTTTCACATAAAAATGTGATTTTTTGGCTTCCCATAAACTTTTTTTAGTGTTTATTTCTTTCATGAGAGGGAGACACACACACACACACACACACACACACACTCACTCTCCCATAGGGTCTCGGCATGATGTGATCCCAGGTCAACCTGGGATCTGAACCCTGAGCCTTCCTACATGGCTCTAGTGTCAGTGATGTCATACTGGCCTTGCCACTACAACTGGGCTTCATACAAATGTGAAAGTGCTGGCAGCACAAGGCCCATGTTCCCTCCAGTTTGTAGTCACAAGAGTTGTGCAGTGTTGTACCCTTTAGGCTTGGTGCACATACTTCTTGTCTCTGCTGGCCTGCTTCCTTCATTGTGTTGGCTGTGAGGTGTTTGTGTTTGGATGGCTCAGAATGAAGTAAAAGCCAGAAATGTCCTCTAGCATCCTGGTGCTGTTACGCTGCATAGTCTGGACCATTTACAGTGCTCACTTGGATATTTGGTAAATAAGCTGATAGCTACTTACATGTATGCATGCCTTTTCATTTACAAAATTCCTGTAGCTTCTCAATGTCAAAGTCAGGATGAAAAGCTAGACTCCCTAGTCTCCCCTGCCATCGTTTTCTTCTTTATTAACGTTTTACATTTTCTCTTCTAGTCCCTGTGTGAGGGCATGCGGATTTTGGGTTGTGTGAAAGAGGTAAATGAACTGGAACTGGTGATCAGTCTCCCCAACGGCCTCCTGGGCTTTGTGCAAGTGACTGAGATCTGTGATGCCTACACTGCAAAGCTGAATGAGCAGGTAGCACAAGATGAACCTCTGAAGGTAAGGGAACTATGGGTGAAGCCACTTTCTGGAAATAAGTGGCACACACACAGATGTAAAATTACAATTTTGCTAAGAATGAAGAAGGAAAGGCCTAAGATGCCATAAGAGTTTTTATAAGGAGTTTTATTTATTTATTTATTTTTTAAAATGAGAGTTTTCACTTAATCCTGGGAGACTAGAAGACTCCCCTGAGGAAGAGATGCTTACGCTGAGACGCGGAAGGTGAGGGTTTCCTAGGTAAGGAAGGAAGCACATCATGTAACAGAAGGCTAGCGTGGCCACAGCAGCGAGGGAGAGAGAATGTGGTGTGAGACGGGGCGGGGACCAGGGTGGAGGCCAGTCACGTGCGGCTTTGCAGACCATCGTTAGGATTGGGTTTTAGTTTTAAAATCAGTGTGAAGGCTTCGAAATGTTCTTGGGAAGGGTGACAGGCAGACAGCATACTAAATAGATTGAAGACCCTTGAGGTGTTGCATAGAGAACACTTAGGAGGCAATCGTAGCAGGCAAGTCTGAGGTTGATGGCAGCTCGGGGTCAGGTGTCCTGAAGGCTACGGAGGGAGCGTCATTGCCTGGGGCTAGACTGGGGTAGGGGAGA